TTCAGTATTGTTGAACTTTTGATATTAAAATCTTCTAAATTCTCCCAAATATTAGATTGAATGATATCTCATCCCGGGAATTATATCGACACGAAAAATTGGTTAAGAGACCAAAAAAACATGGTTTGATATGTTAAATTGCAATAAAGGAAAAACCCAGATCACTATTTTACTACTCTCAAGGTAAAAAAAGGGCTCCCAAAGGGGCCGCCAAGCGAGCATTTGTGGAGCCCGGGATAAGTTATTGTCGCTTCAAAGTGGGAAGCAAGCAGTCATAAACCCGAACTAGTCGTTGTGTCACCGTTAGCTTGTAGGACGTTTGCTGCTGTGGCTTTCCTAACTCGATCAGATCTTGTTTCACACTGTTTTATTACAAAAACATTAGTCAGTTAAGGCACAACACAAAGCTAACTGACTTAAAAGAGATTCAGATCAAGCAAAATCTAAAAGGCAAGCAAAGAAAGAGAACGACAATGAGTAAATGTTTTGTATCCAGAGACAATAATCGCATACTGACTTAAAGAAATTCAGATCAAGCTGATATGCTAAGGTCATCATTCACTGACTGGAAAATCAAGCAGCCAATGCTTTTGCTTACTTAGATATAACCACTTTATGGTTGATCATAATTGTTTTCAGCTAAACGTTTGATGAGATTATACAGTGAAAACTTACAAATCCCACTCGCCGCTTGCTTTTGCAGGATTCTCAACAACTCGGTACAAACGCTCAAGGCTGTATATCAGCAAACCAAATACGGTTTCTGCGTCCTTATCCTGTAACAGCATCAAGAAGGGCCAGGAACTTTTTCACAGGATTTCTTACAAGACCCATTTGTAAAATAAAAGCAAAAAAGAAAATAGTGGACATCTTACACGTCCTTGTTCAATGTAGCTCTGATACTGCATAATTCTCTTTTCAATTTCAACGACAAGTAGTCTTCTATGAATACGTGCAATTCTTCCTCTTCCTTGAGCTCTGCTATCCTATTCATACCAGTGAAATCAAACGGAATCAAGACCACAACAGCTGCATTATTGACTCTGCACAATGAGTCTCATAAACTGAAACACATATATGTATCACTGTCACATTTGGTTTGGCTTGAATTATCAATTTCCTCACCTGTTTAAGCCATGTCCGAAGCAATGTGAGCATAACAAGGCTGAGAAAGAACGCAGGTAATGCAGCTAGAATGGCAAAGTTTATTTCATTTGCACGAAGTATCTGATCCAGTTCAAGCATCGCTCTGCAAGAGAAGATTATTCAGTTATATACAAAATGATTAAGAGATCTACTGTAGTTAACTGAGAGCTACTGGTTTACTGAAATTACGTTTCTATATCCAGTTTAAGCTTCTGGACCTGAAAGACAAAGAAATTTGATGTGATAAGAATCTCAAAAACAGTAATCTACAGCTTCATGCCAAGAACTTAAATTACCTGGATAAGCAAACCACGGGCAAGCTCTCCGCTAAGGAGGTTGTGAATAGGGTGCACAAGTTCCTTTTCATACCTGCAATTAGAAGGCAAAATTCAACTAGAAACCCACCTCATGAGGTGAAACTTCTATCTTGCGATAACTATCACAGGAAATTATTATATACAGTCATGAGGAAATTAGTGTTCATTAGCAAAGATTAGAACTACTACCAAATTTGTAGCCTCAATTATTCCCTTGCCTAAAATGTAGTCGTTGTAAATACAATTTGATGTGCCTTTAGCTGCCTAACAAAGAATAATGGACGTTTTCAAGAGTTGTACCGGTTCATAACAACTTCAAGCATCTGCTGATCAGATGCATCATCTGGGACCTTTTCACGCGTAGCCTGCTCGCAGAAATTCCTCAGCATTCTACATACCAAATAGCAAAATTAGGAGTGTAGCCAATAATAAGAAGCACTAAATGAATGATTACAGATATTTTTGGTTGTGGTTATTTGAACCCCTAGATCATTGAACACCATATGAATCTAACAAGTGCATTGCTATAAAGAAAAGGCAACGATGCACGCAGATATACAATAGCAAACAACTGGAACCCGGATAAAAAGCATCAACAAGGAAATGAAAATCGACCTATGGAGTGAGTCTTGTGTCAGCTGCACTTCTTCAGTTTCCATGACACCCTTGTGCCTTTTCCGGAATGTATCAAAAAGCTCATCCCTAATGGCAAGCATCTGCAAGATCAGGAAACTAATTCAAAAACTCCAGGTTAACAAAACGTCAAGTAACAGACTAATAACTCAACCATTTTACTCGCCACACATTCATTTTGGATAAGAACCAAACTGAGAGTCGCATTACTCATCCTTTCACAGAGTTTTATGCAACAAGTCATTGGGACCAGGAAAAAAAATCACAGTTGGCATTTAAAATCTGAGAAAGGCTAAGAACAAACCGGTTGCTCAACATGATCACTGAAGAAACTCATTGTTGCTTCTTTTGCATCACGAATCCAATTGTCAATGTCAGAACTTCCCATCAAACTACTATGACGTAGTAGCCATAGAGAAAAGACAGAAAGCCCAACTGCACCACATGTATATCGGACCCAGTACAGGGTCATCCTCCTTGGCTTTCTATGTTTGCCTACCTAGTAAAAAATAAATGGAAGATGGAAATTTCAGAGTAGATTTCAAATGAAAGTTGTTTGTCATTACATGATTATTTCTGGTAACACTAATACTGGCCAGCGATACATAAATTACAGCCACACCTACCATAACTGATAAATATGAGTTAAGTTTTTCCAAATTCTTATGAACCAGGTTGATTGCATCTGTAAGTTCACAGTCGGTCCACTGGGATCCTTCTTCATTAACTTCAGGCAGTGGATCCAATACAAGAGGCATTGGGTAACTTCCATCAATTGAAGAATCAGACTGCAAATGCAATGATAAATGGTCAGAAAAATGAAGGTAGTGTCAGTGAAAAGTAAAATCGCTAGTAAGAAATCAGTGTGTTTACCTCACGCGCAGCATGTAAATGGGTGAAAGAACCCTCCAAGTTCGAAAACAATCGATCGATAACAGCCAACAATGACGGCAGTGACTTTTCTGGATTCTTCAATAGATCTTCACCACTTTTATCCAATTCAACATAAAGCTAGAGAACCCATTAAAAATAGTGACATTATTAGTATGTAGAACATGCAAAACGATGCTACACTAGCACAGAACTACATTTAACTCAGGTTAAAAAGGAATGAAATTTAACCTGAGCAAGAAAAGAAGCAAGTGCAGATCTTAACTCCATCAAGACCCTCATCCTATCCGACATGTGAGATGAAGATGACTGACAAAGATGCTGCATAGCAGAATCCTCACTGAGACTTTTGCTCACGAACTTGGTACTCTCATTCACAAAAGCTGCTGGTCCTCTCTCGAAAATCATGAAGTAAGCTTTCCGGGCATTAGAACCCTGAAGTCAAGAGAACCATATAGATGAAAGATCTTCACTAATCACTACATAATCATGGAATGTTGTGTTGATTTACCTCAGCTCTAGATTGCCAAAAATCTAAACTCTTCTGGATATCATGCAAGTTTGAGAGGACATCAGCCATAATTTCCTCCAAAACAACATAAATCCTTGACGTATCCACCGAGATATTGCTGAAGAAATCAACAAAGCATATGCTCAAAAGTCAAAACAGTGTTCATATAATCAGATTTCAAATGATAATCTTCGCCAAAAGCATACAATCAACAAACACAAAACTTCAGTATCAGAACGGATTTCAACAGTTTTAACTCCGAGTCGCCGATCATCAAGCAGAAGTTAATGGCACTAAACTAAGAAAACTACCAGAAGCTACCAGAAGACGTAAAATAGAGATGAATCTTACGTTGATGAACATGGGAAGTCAGAAGGTAGAGGAAGAGGAAAGGATATATGTCGTTTTTTGGTGATGGTTTGGCGATAGAGATTGGAGAATTTCCCGAGGAAAATCGAATTAGAAGTAGGAATCAAGGAAGCAAGACGATTCCATATATAGTTGGAATAGAAAGGAACTAGGTCTCCGGCGTTTGATGGCGCCGTCGACGGAGAGGGTTCGTTCGCCGGAGGTTGAGAATCCATTGAAGTCGGCGGCTATCGATTTTCTCAGTTCACCTAAAGAGTTTTGGAAACTGTAAAAAGTGGATAAATTGAAATCTTAATTGGGCTTTCAGTGGGCCCATAGAAGCTACGAATTTTAACACAAATTGTTATGGCAATATATGTCTTGATCAAATTCAACTTTCTTTCGTTCAATTTTCTGTTTAGATTGTGGCATTGAATGGTTCATGGTTGTACAGTCCAAATAGAACCGGATCATCAGTCCAATCTTTATCATATAATTCGCATATTTAATTCGGACTAAGCATATTAAAATATTACTATTCTTTCGATTTTTCAGCTCATTCTAAAAAGAGAATTTGCACTCCAAATACACATGTTATCAGCTAATTGGAGAGATATACATTTACTGTGTTACTCAATTTCTCCATTTTTGTGTTCCAATTGTACCCCTATTGCAGTAGTGTATATGCAATTGTTTAGCGTGTATAGCGAGGCACGTGTGTCAGGGAAGAAATCCAGTAACCTACTAAAATCTGTTGGATGCCAAAAGAAAACTTTCTGGTGAATTTATGAACTCTTTGTTGAGTAAAGTTGCAGGATGTGAGAGCTGTGGTTTTCGGATAGATCATTATATAGACGTCAATATTTAATGTGTTGATACTTTACTTACACTATATCTAATGTTTGTATCCATTATACTTATAGGTTAAGATTTCATAATTTTGGCATTAAATGAAGCTGCCTAAGTCAGATTTCGTGTGGTTTGTGTTTCTCTAATGCTGATATTAACAGTAACCTACTATATCTTCTGACTCGGCAAAGATCTGGGCTACTACTTCAGTTAGTTGCTACAATCGAGGAGTACCGAAAGAGATAGAGGGAGTTTTTCGTATTTTTGATATGGAGTTGAAAAGTCAAAACTAATTTTGTTTATTTTTGTCCATCCACCTAAATACCCAACAATATGTGTATTATAGGCTCGTTGTCTCTTCTAAATGAAGCGTATTCTAATATGCAACTTAGCGTACTATAATATTGATCCAATTTGTTTGATTTGGAAGAGACTAAGCATTCAAAATATGTGTCTATAAATTCRAACATAAAGTTTTCAAACAATAGTATTGGAGTATATGAGCTACCGGTTTAGACTGGTTAAGGAGAAATTCTGGTTTATTGTATTTATGGTGTACATATCATTCTTTTCTTATCTTGGTTTGTAGTGTATAAATACTTGTACTGTACACTTGGAATCATTAAAGAAGATAATGAACATTTACACCAAATCAGTATTTGTTCATAAACGCTAATA